GGCCCAAGGCCATCATCTACGTGGTGGACAGCAGCGACGTGGAGCGCATAGGCATCAGCCGCGACGAGTTCCACGCGATACTGTCTGAGGAGGAGCTCAAGGACAGCCTGCTGCTGGTGTACGCCAACAAACAGGTGGGGACGGGCAGGGTTGTGTGTGTATATGTGTGTGTGGATAGCTGGCCTTTTAAGGGCAGGGGTGGCAGTGGTGGCTGGGGCTGGAGGGATGTACAGGGGGGGTCCAGGCAGGGCGCTTGGCTGGATGTGGTACCAGGAGGAAGTTGTTCCCATTTCCTCGCATGCAGTGCGGGCCCAAAGCCCCGCTGGCATGCCTGCAAGCGTCTGGGAAGAGCTGGGGTGCTGCAGGGGGCAGCAGGGCTGTCAGATGCAGCGCAGTAGGCGTGCAAGGTGCCAGGCCTCGCTCCTCGCCGTCATTTCCAGTCTTCCGCGTCCGCGGCTGGCTCGGGTCGGTGCAGCGAGCGCGGCCAACATGTCTTTAATATTGTCCCTGCGCCATCCTCCCACCCACCCACCCTCCCCACCCGCGCGCCCGGCCCCTGCGCGCGCGATCGGACCCGCTGCCCGCAGGACCTGCCAGGGGCACTGTCTGAGGCGCAGGTGGCGGAGGCGCTGGGGTTGCACGACATCCGGGGGCGGCCCTGGGCCATCTACAAGACCAGCGCCATCAAGGGGGAGGGCCTGTTTGAGGGGCTGGACTGGCTCTCAACAAACCTCAGTAAATGAGACGGGGGCGCGCCGGCCGGGGGCCGGGGCCGAGGGTGCGCTGTATGCGTGGAGGCGCCGCGCAGACGCCAAGCAAAGTGTCTGGTGCGGCGGCTTCGATTTTATGTTGGGAATCTGCGTGTGTTTGTGCTCTCAGTTGTTGCGGCATATTGCTGGCTTTTCCTTCTTGTTTTATGCATCCTTGTCTTGCATTTGCGGCCACCCCGCTTTGACTTATGACATAGCCTGACTGACCAGCCCGATCTGCTTGGACATTCATGCTTCTTCCCCTCCCTCAAGCCTTGGAAGGAGCAACTCATGTAATAGCCATTAGCCGGGGCGCACTCACGGCACAGTCGCTTCTCTGGGATGCGTTTGAATGATCTGGGTGGTGCCCGCTGACCCGCCCAAAGGGGGCGGGCTGCTTTGGGATGGCGCAGGGCGTGTTTGTGCGCCGCTGTGGAATGCCATCAAGGCGCATTCAAGTTACACAAGTTACATCCGCACGGCCTTGGGAGCCGCGCGTAAAGCAGCAGCAGCAGCAGCAGTACATCTTCTGATGCGCAGCTCACGGGACAGAATATACGCACCACCGTGCGCTTGCAGCCACCAGCAAAAGGGCAGCCAGCCCACGCCCCAATCAATGCATCATGCGGTGCAGATCACAAGTGCAACGACCCAGCAGCCACAAATCCAATGACGTAATCATCAGCCATTTGCCCCGCCGCCGCCCAAGGGTTGAGCCGGCCCGGCGGCAGGGCTCCGACACGCCGCCAGCGCACAGCTTTTATATCAAGACACCCCTGCCTTCAACACCCCACCACATCCCCCATCCCCGCCGCCATCAAAACCCCCTTGGCAGATCACCAGCAGCGATTCTCTCCTTTGCAACCCTGTCCCCCCAAGTCGTACCGCACCCCTTCCCCAACGCCACCCCATCTGCCATTCAAGGGGGCCACGGCGCAGCCCACCATGCCCCCGGGCACCCAGAACCACAAACCCGGTTCCTGCAGTGCGCCGACACCGCGCACTTGCGCGCCCGCTCTCCAGAACCCGCCCCCGTCAGCCCGCGCGGCCGAGGCGCACCACGCGGCGCCCGATCTCTGACCGCAGCATGTCCATCTGGCGCGCCACTGCGGCGCCCTGCACTATTGCGCTGTTCTCCTGGGCGCGGCGCACCAGGTAGGGCAGCACCTGGGGCCGGGTGGAGTTGGGGAGTGTGTGTGTGTGTGTGTGTGTGTGTGTGTGTCTTTGTGTGTGTCTTTGTGTGTGTCTGTGTGTATGTGTGTGTGTGTGTGTGTATGCGCGCGCGCGCGTGCATGTGCATGGCTGGGTGGGTGGGTGTGTGGGGGAGGGGCGGCGAACGAGCACGTGCTGGTCTCACAGGAGGGGCTGGCGCACGGCAAAGATCTGGGGGTTGGAGCTTTGTGGGTGGAGGGGGGGGGGAGAGGGGTGACAGCAGAGGGCCATCACACCAGTCGTGTCCAGCCACTCGCTGGGACAGGTGCGGGGTCGATGCGTCGGCGCATTGAGGGGCGAGCGACAAACAGCACGCCGGACGTGGCGGCGGTCGCGGCGCGGCGCAGAGCGGCTTGGGCGGGGGCTTGCGAGGCGCGTGAGGCAGGCGCAGGACTTAGTACAAAGTCAAATTGACCGTGGCTGGGTTGCAGACTCAGAAAACACCCACCTCGGCTATGGGGCCATATGGGACATACTTGAACGCCTCATACCTGGGTGGGGGTGAGCGAGGAGCGGGCAAACATGCACGGCGGGGCAGGCCCGGTGACATCAGCGGCGGGGGCCATGATCTGAGCTGTCTACCCAGGGGGTCAGCCTACTTGAGCTTTGACGTTTGTTGTTAAAAAAGCGCATCAGCCCGGGCTCCAAGGCTCGAGCGCACGCTTGCGGTCTCATTGCGCTCTGAGCTGTCCGGCTGCAGGCCCGCCAATCCAGCCCGGCCTCCGCGCACCCGTTCTGCCCCAGCGTGAACGTGAGAGAGTCCGCCATTCCCAGCAGCTGCCCGAAGTAGACGCCGCCGCCGGTGGGGGGAAGCCCGAGGCGGTGCATTTCCTGCACCGCCTGCTCAATCGAGTCCTGGTTGTGCTGCGAGCATGGGGCGGTTGTTGGAGGGGTCCGATTGGTCGCCCGGATGGGGCCAGCACGGGCGGCAACGCTCCCAGCTGCTTGGCCCCCGCGTTGCGGAGGCCGCGCTGCTTGCATTGGCAGAGTGCGTTTCATGAGGCTGCATTCTTCTCCTTGGCCCCGCAGGCTGGAGAGGCGTCTGCCAAGAAGAAAACTCTCGACGTGTGACGCATTCTCATCAATTTCCATCCTCCCATTTAAAAGGCCACTGTCTTCACAGCGCAGTCCTCCAGGACTGCAACCCTGCGAGACCCCCTTTGCCCAGAGGCCCACCAACCGCATCACTCCACCCCTCCATCAATGAACGGTTCCCTCCCTCAATGAAAGGTAAATCACAGGAGGGCCTCACGCTGGCGATCATCAGCTCTGCCCCAGACTCCTTGACCTCGCGCAGCACGGCACGCATGCACCTGAGAGCGGCAGCACAAGGGGCGGGCCGGAGGCGCTCGCATGCAGACGTGCACCAGCGTGCGATTTCAGCCCTGCGCACGGGGCTGGCCATCAAGCAAGGCCGCGTGCGGCTAGCTGGAAGGGCCAGGGCCGGGCCGTTCGAACACTTTCATTGAAGACTGATGATTGGCGGAGGTGGTGGACGCACGCGCGTTGGCGCGACGCTCGTGCACGCGGCCCTGCGGCGCCCCTTACCTGTTGTAGTTATCGTGTGTGTCTTGCAGGGTGTCCCATATCGGGCTCTCCTGGCCCTTGGCTGCTGCGCGGCGCCGCTCCAAGCTCAGGTATGCACCACGCACCAGCTTGGCACCAAACCTGGAATGTGTGTGTGTGTGTGTGTGTGTGCGCGTGTTTACATGTGTGTGTGGGTGGGTGTGAGAGTGTCTGACAGTGTGTGTGTGCGTGTGTGTGCATGTGTGTGTGGTGCGCGTATTGTGTGTGTGTGTGTGTGTGTGTGTGTGTGTGTGTGTGTAGCGTGTGTGCGTGCAAGGGAGAGGGTCTGGAAGGACAAGAGGGTATGCGTGCACGTGCACATGCATCTAAAAAGATGCAAATGCTACGTTTTTGCAAATGCACACAGATACGCAGGGAATGACGAAGGCCTGGGCAGGGCTGGGCAGTTGCAGAGTCTTTGCATGCCGGCAATCGGCGGAACACGAGAGCGTTTCCCATAACCCCACAGCCTTTTTCAACAAAGGCTTGTCAGTCTGCGTGGGCCCCTCCTGTTGCAGGGGATTAGAGCGGCCCAGCAACGGAAAGAGCGGGGGCGTGGGTGGCTCAGGGCCGTGCTCGCCTGTACCCGTTGCGCCGCGCCCTCTCCATGTCCTCCATCAGCAGTGTGTAGCTGCCCTTCAGGTACGCCTGGGGGAGAGAGGGAGGGGCGGAAACGCAGAGCGGGTATGATAGGATCAATGGTAAGCACGTCGCAGTACAGGCGTGCGGGAACACGGCGTGATCTTGTGCCAGACTTGCCGCATGGGATTTGAGCGTGACGACAGATACATCCTGATTGGCAGCTAGGGTTTTGAGGATCTAAGCCTTGACACGGTGACATCACCTGGTAGGTGTTGAATATGACGGGCCACTCCTTGTTGTACTGCATTGACAGGGCCTTGGCCGTGTGGTCAATGGCCTTGTTGTGGGGGGGGGGGGTTCGTGCGGTGGGGGTGCAAGGGGCGTTTGGGGTTGTGGCTGGGCCCGGAGGATGCAGGGAGAGGGGGGTGGTTAGGGTGGAGGTTGGCGAGTGAGATGCCCTTGGATGGTGTGGGGTGTTGTCTCTGTTTGGCCCTACCCTGCCCCTGCACCGCGGTACAAGGAGTGAAATGCTGCCCCTAACCCAGGCAGGTCCGACTCTAGCCGGCTTAAGCCGCCCGTTGGCCTGCTCTGTCCCACCACAACCCACCCTAGAGACTCCCCAAACAAGTGCAGCGCTGCATATTGAAGTGTCACCCCACATCTCCACATGAGACACACACGCACACACAACCATTCGGACACACACACCAGCGACACCCACCGGTTGGAAGTACGTGTGCTCGGCGTCGATCATGAGCCGCACCCCCCTGGCATCAGCCAGCTCCGCCAGGGCCGCCACACGCCCCACCATGGCGTCAGCCAGCTCGACCTCCCCCTCACTCAGGGCGCGCGCCACGTAGGACTGCGACAGGGGCGTGCGGGCGCCTGGGGGGGGTTGAGGCGGCCGGAGTGTGGGCTGGTTTTGAGGGGTGAGCCGGGACGGGGTTGGTGCGGGATTGGGAGATAGATGCAAACATGAGCGAGCAGAACGACATTGATTGGCAGGGAGGAAGGTAGGTAGGCACAGGCGGAGGCGCAGGGCAAAGCCGAGCGCATGTGTGGGATTGATTGACGTCGCGGCAGTCACCCTCGCCGCCCACCTCCCGCCTGTTTTATCTGCTCGATCATGGCTGGGAAGTGTTTGAGCTGGATGCGGTTGGTCCAGTCCACAATGTCCACCCGGCCCTGGTTGGAAGGTGAGTGAGGAGGGCGGG